TCCTGGCAGACTGAAAATGCTCTTCCTCCCACCCCTGGAGCACTTTTGCCCATGCGGTTCACCAGCTGCCATAACTGCATGACCCAGATCCTAAACTTTGCTGTGGATGTGGGAGCCTGTGAGCAGTCTTGTTTGTATCTGGGTTGTGGTGCTTAGTGCAGGAGCCCCAGTGAGATCTGAGCCACCTCCTGGAGTCACTTTGTTTGGCCACCCTTCAGCACATGCAAGGAGGTGCTGCACACACAGAGCTCTGAAGAACAAAACTAGTATTTGCTAGCTGACACATGCAGGGTAACTGGGGCTTGAAGAGCTCGCCAGCTGAGCACAGGGAGCTTGCCTCCCCTGTACAGCACCCAGTGACTTTGCTGGCTGCACAGGCACCATCTCAGGGGAGAAGAATCATAGAATCATCAATGTTGGAAGACACCTCTAAGATCAAGTCCAACCGTCATCCCATCATCACCATGCCTACTAAACCATGTTCTGAAGTCCCATATTTACACATTTTTTTGAACACCTCCAGGCATGGTGACTCCACCACTTCCCTGGGCAGCCTGTTCCAGTACTTTACAACTCGTTCAGTAAAGGAATTTTTCCTAACATCCAATCTAAACCTCCCCTGACACAACTTGAGGCCATTTCCTCTCATCCTATCGCTGGTTACTTGGGAGAAGAGTTGGTCTCTAAAGCCCCAGGGCACATTCTCAATGATCCTGAGTTTCCTTATTCCACCTCCTTGGTTGCTTCTTGAAGGTTTTACACCTTCCCACAATGCTTTTTTTTTCTGTGAACCCTTGAACTGGTCGTGATTTCATCTCAACCACCCTGCCTCTACCTGTGGTGTCACCTTGTGTCCTTTCCTGGCTCTGCTCTACGAATGTCTCGTGGCTCCTCTGATGACTGTGCAGTGCCCACATCAGCCTAAACCACAGACATGCAGCTGTGAGGGCTGTATCAGAGCTGGGCTTTGGGGCCTCAGGGGCAGGCAGTTGGCCCCGGGGGGATGGAGAGGTGATGACTGGGATTGCAGACAGAGGTTTACATCCCCAGCTGCTGCTGTAGACAGTTCAGCAGCCACAAGTCAGGGAACTGTGGTAAATCCCCCGCTCAGCTCATGCGAACAAATGGATGCTGCTGGTACTAGGTCTCCAGGGCTGTGACGTCTCCTTACTGATTCCAGTAACATCAGTTTGAAGATGGGTGCTGTGGTCCACTGTGCAAGCTGTAACACAGTGAGCAGAGACCTACACTGGTGAACACTAGGAATGTCATTAAGATTTTTCGCTCCTGCACAGGAAAAAAAGGTTTTTCTGAGCAAAAAACCTGATAGTAGTCGGAGCGTACAAGCAGGATGCTTGAGCAGGAGTGATTACAGGAGTGCGGTAAATAAGAGGGCTAGTTGCAGTGACGCGGAGAGAACTGTAAGTTGTACGTTTTGTCTGTGTATGCAGGCTGGCACATCAATTTTGTAGCCAAAAATCTATCCCATCTGTATGATTTACTTTCTCCTTCTACCATGTCCCTTTATTAAGTTAAATCAATCATCCCACTGCTCTGTGATTTCTAGTTTTATATTTTGCTGGGAATGTGTCACAAAGTGAAAAGGGGAAGTTTTGATGTGTTACTAAAACCAGACTTGTCTGCCTAGGGTGAGATTGGAAGAATTTAGTTTTCTCTTGGGTGAATTCTGACAGATTATATAAATTTCCATCTTTCCCTCTTCTTCCTCCTCCTCCTCAACCCAAACCTGGCTGCAAAGAAAGGCCTTGATATAGGTGGTGGCCAAGGCTTAGCTGTTTCCCAGCCTGTCCTGGCACACCTTGACCTGCACCGTGTAATACCTGTGGCATTTTAGGGCTCTGTGGCAGCTCTGCACGAAGTCATAGATGGATGGACGAAGGTGAAGAACTCAGCCCCATCCCAGGTTGCCCTGATGGCCTCCAACAGCCGAGTGTGACTGGCATTGGCCATGACCAGCTGAGTGTTTAATGACTCCAAGGATGGAGATGCCATCAGCTAACTGTCTGGCCAACATTAAGTGATATGGTAAGTCTTTGTCTTCACCAAGGTTCATCCAAGGAGAATCTGACCAATGTGGGAGACCTTGTGTTGGGAGGGAATGTAAAAGGAGTTTCCCATTCAAGTGGAGGGAGAAATGGCTGGTCAAATATCAAGGCCATGGTCTGGGGAATACTGCAGTCCAAACATGCTAGCTTACCCACCACCCCGTGTGCTCTCCACTCCGAACCTGGACATATAGAGTTTTATTTTTGTATTGGAGGAAAAGGCAGAGGGGCAGGTATGGCCCTGCCATGACACTGTTCCCTCTCTCAGAAATGGAGACATCGTCTCTCCCTCTCACATCCCTTTACCTGTGCTGAGTAGCTCCTATCATCCCTGCTCTCTCTGCTATGCCATAGGGTGTGTGTGGCCACAGGCCTTTAGAAGCCCTGTGTGAAGGGCTACGTCTAGGGCTAGGCTCCCTCCCTAAACCCTCCCTAGACCTATTAAAAGCCCTTTTTCCCCGAGGGAAGGTCCAATGTGTGTCTAAATTGCCTCTCCTTTTCTCCCGTTCTTCTCAAGGGTGGGAAGCAGCTACTCCCCAAGTCCAACTCTTCTCCTTTGGATTGGAGAGTTGAGAAGTAGCGGACTGAGATGGTGATGATGTTTATTAATTAAGGGAAACACACCTCGAAAAAGCTCATAACACCTGAACTGCCACATAAACACACCACTTCTTAGTAGCATAATTCACGATTATGTCACTGCAAGTAATACAGAGTGACAATTCTGTAGCTTATTACTAGTATTAGTCCTGATATTATGTTACTATAAAGAAATCTTAAAATGAAGCACTTATTAAGCTGCAATTCTATGGTCTTTCTTCCTGCACTTAGTATTAAGGTACCAAGTCTATCATTCCTTATTAGTTTACACATCTTCACTGCACCCTCCCACATGAAGTCTTGTGGATCAACCTGGTGGAGAGACCAGCGTGTTCTCCAAGCAGAGCTCCCTCCAGCATCCCCAGTGGTGTTGGGTCCACAGCTTGGCATCTGCACTCCTTCCATCAGAGGCTTCCCACCCTGCTTTGTTCTCCACCTGATCTTATACCTCCTTGCCCATTTTTTTCCTTTTCCTGAATCCACATTTTTACCTCTCTTACACCGTTTTTTCGCCCTTTGGTCTCCTCCCAAGTAAATCATCCCTAATTACTCGTTGGTCTCAATTCTGTTACATTCATACCCATATGCTTCTGGGGCAGATTTATCTTACTTTATCCTTATTCCCCTACCTAAGTTTAATTAAGCAAAAACAATTTCTCAGCTCAGGCGCAGAGCTTGCATACCACAGCAACAATATTTGGACATTTTGTTCTTACATCCTATCTCTGTACTGGCACAGTTTTCAGTACACTCCCAGTTCCCATGGGAGGTTGTGGCCAGTTTTGGAGCCCGGTGTCCTAGCAGCGCCCCTGGCTCTTAACCCCAGCCCTGTGGCAAGTCCAAGTCTCCATAGAACTACTCCAAGAAGACATCACTGCGGGTGAGCCCAGCTTGTTCATGCCCACAGAGTCCTGGCTCACCTCCCTGTGTCGTCCTCCACTGGCGTGGCATGATGGAAGGACATGAGCCGGTTGTTCTACTTCTTGCTGCTTAACTGCAAAGTTGTGGCAGGGAGAAGGGGAAGCCCAGGTTTTGCTTTGCACGAGGGCTGGAAGGACCCATCAATTCCTTTCTTTCTCCATGAGCTTATAGCACCTAAGCTGTCTGAGCTTTAGTGCTGTACAACTGTGTGTTCTACCATTACAATAGTGTTTATGTGTGCATGTGTGTATATATTTTTAAACACATGCATGTATGTGTGTATATATGCATGCGTATATACATATGTACATATACACATATATTTTCATGTATATATGTATATGTATACACACACACATATATATAAGGTGACTAACACAAGTAACAGGAGGTTACTATATGCAGAATAAAGTACGTATGACCCTACAATAAAAACGCAAAGAGGAGTACAGGCATGGGATGAGAGTGGAGGCCTTGAAAATACAGGCACAAGATAATATTCGAAGCCCCAGGACTATACACAGCTCACCAATCATCAACCACTCATCACCAGAGAAATTCAGTCTTGGGAACTGGGATCGATTTTGGAGATACCTAAGAAAACAAAGTTGGGACCACTAAGGAAGCACAGCCTATACTTCTAGGTCAGGATGACCAAAGCTAAAGATCTGATCTGGGCCAGCTGAAGGGGGGGCTCATCATCTCTCTCAAGGTGCAGAGTGCCCAAATGTGGAAGTACCACTGCTGATCCATGCTGCAGTTCTGCAGCTGCTGTAAGTTTCTTGTTTTTGCTTTTATTTCTAGGTGTATTTTTGTTTGCATTGCTCTTGCTGCCTTGAGTATGCTGTCAGAGCTATTAGGAAAAAGCATAAACACAGTACTAAGCACTCAAATGAGGTACCCTTTCCTTCCGCCATTCCAGCTGATTGCTTTTGCTAACTGCTCTGAAACTTATATGCAAAAAACTGGCAGAAAACTGAATGGTTAGTGGGGAGATTTTTGTCAGGGACCAGCAGGCGTGGGGTTGTTCCACACAGAAAAATGAGCTGGGAGCAGAGGGTGTCCCAAGCAGAGGCAGGATGGTGTCCCCACTGAGCAGGCACAATACCACAGAACGTGGGCAGAGCCAGAAAGGTGAGGCGATGAGACAGGCCCAGGGTCAATGCTGGAAGACTAGTGAGCAAATCAGGATTGTCAGGTCACAGGGCTGGACATCAATGCACCTACAGCATAGCTTGGGCAGGGACAGCAAGCTCAGGGCTGAGCTTAAGTGGAGCTCCTGGACCAGTGGACAGTGGGTGCATGGGTGGAAATCCTGGGGGCAATTGGTCAGGACAATTAAGGCACTTGGGGCACTGACAACTGGGTAGGAGAAGCTGCAGGTGAGTTAATTCCTGGGGGACTTAGCAAGAGTTAGGTTGGTCTCTTCTGGATGTAGGCAAGGCTGTGAAGTTTGCTGGTCCTCACAGCTTTCTTCCAGATGGAAACAACATTCCTCAGTAGTAGGTCTGGACTCAAAGTGCCTGTCAGGTTTGCAATGGAGGCATCATCTCGCCTGTCTTCCAGGAAGGATATGAAAGTTTCCTTTAACCTGTGGGTGAGACAGATCGTAATTTTAAGTGTCTGGAGGACTGCTGGGTTTCCAAATGCCCTGACCTTCGACAGACAATGCTGGCAGTCAATGACAGTCCGTGCTGGTAGCCCTCAGATGGCCTTGCAGCTTGAAGCCAGGCAGTATTCTGTGGGGTATCTCTGGTGGTATCAGATAAAAATGTGGGCAACTGTTGGTCAACATTGTCAACAGCACCCAAATAGAGGTTATGGCCTCTTCAAAGCTGAGCTTAACAGTCAGCCTCACTGACTGCCTCTCCCATTTCAGGTAGAACACAACACAACATGCTGAACCTGTCTATACTCAGCTTGATAGATCCCCAGCTCCCTCCTTCATGGTGTCTGTCTTGCTGTCACTGTGTCATTAGGAGACCTTTCTCATGCAAGAAAGAGGGAAAGGGAGGTGGTGTGGACATATCCTCACATTGGGGTATCTCATTGGTCCTGTGTAGGGTGCACCTTTTTTCTTTCCTTACATGATCCTTTTTTTTTTTTTTCCCCAAGGCCAGACA